AGGCATTCGCTTTGTGGTCGCAATACATTTTGAACTTGTAAAAACCTGCACATAATGATATACCAGTATCATCTAGTTACAAGCATACGCGCAGTCTCAGAGCAAAGATCTTAATAATTAAAAACAATATAAATAATAAATTTACAAAAAATCAATAAGTAAAGGGTCTACCCAAAACCGAAAAACATGGCAAGGGGTCTACGACACAAAAAAGTTTGGGAACCTCTGGTCTAGATGAATGAGTAGATTTAGTAGTTTACCTTGCGTGGAAACCGCCCTGCTTCGAGCGAGATCCACTTTGTTGCCGACGAGGATTGCGGGTCTGGACCGCAGCAGATCGGCGTCGTGAAGTCGCGTTATTTCCGCTTCCGCCTTCAAGAAGCTGGCCTTGTCCACGACGGAGTAGATGATGACGAAGGCATCCGGCGGATCCGCCCTATCTATATCCTGTTGAAACAGCGAAACGATTAATAAAACGAAGAAATTTTGAAGAAGTCACAACGATTTTACAGTACCCTGGGATTAGAAATGTTGAGGAACGTCAATTCCGATTCTTCGCCGTTCAGCATTATAGAAACTGACTGAGTTCCAAGAGAATCTGAAAAAAAAAAACAGATATAGTTTCTTTGTAATGTAATCGCAATTGTAATTTACAAACGTAAATTGCAAATCCATTATACATTATTCACCGCTGATGAAAATTTGATGCAAACACTGTCGGGATTTTGATAACAACAAACGAAGAATCGAATTCGAGCGGATCTTACTTGAATTAATAAAGTTCACGTTGAATGGGAGCCCTGATTGCATGTGCTCTCACATTGTTCGAACAACAAGAAAAAGAAACCCAACGTTTTCCATGGAAATACCCGCATTTCGCATCCGAATGCATTCAGCGGTAATGAAATGGGGATTGCGTGTAATGCGCCCACCCGAATCCTCTGCAGACTTCGAACTCTGCATTTAAATCCTGCGGGAAATTGAAACCGTTCGCATGATCCAACTCCGAAAACCTTCACATAATCATTGCAAATTATGAATGTTGCACATATTTTACGCTGTAGATTTGAAGATGCCGATGATTTGAAATCAACAAAGAATCTTGATTTAGTTTAATGTAGAATTTCGAATTGAAATCGTTTAATAAAACGAATGCGCAAAGACAAAATTATACTGAAATTAAGCGTGAAACTTAATAGTTTTAATGATTTAAATATATAAATTTAATGAATAAAGAAAGAAATAAGCTAAATGCGTAGGTTTATACAGCGATTATTAATGGTAAAGAAAGATATTTCCTGCGAATGTGATTTATTGCCATGTTTGTGAATCGGTTATTATGAAAATGCAGGGAATGCTTGTAAACCAGGCGAGATTAAAAAAAAAACATATATATGCGTAGAGAGAAAAAAAGCTAGTCTGAAATGTAAATGTTTTCAGCGCACGGCGAATAAATGACGCTCTGAAATGCATGTATGATTTTCCTGAAAGAAAAGAAAGAAAAAAAGTGGAAACACGCGCGCACTGAAATAATACATTCGATAATTCCTTGGAAACGTGCGACTTCTATATTATATTTGTAAACAAACAAATAATAACAGTGAAAGAATTGCGTTTAATTAACGCAATCGATTGTGATAATTACGAACGGAGACATCCTGCGGCTGTAATTTAATTGGATTGATGAAGCTGTGAGTGTATATAAGGACGTATTCACCAAGAACGACCTTTAAAGTTCAATTTAAGCTTTACGTTTGAAGTTGCAGTGTTGCATAATGAAACGCATTATTGTTAACAGAGCAGAAAGAGATTTCGAAAATGAAATTACGCAATTGGGGATGGGAGGGAAAACGGGCTGCATTACGGACACAATGCTTTGCTTTGAAATGCGAAACGTATTTATTTAACGGACTCGCAAAACACTCTTTCATCTTGCACGAGAGGAAATTTCCGAGAGGAACGAAAAGAAAGTTTGCTGTTGCTGCTGCTGCTGCTGCTTTTCCCTACAACTCCGTTTCAAGTTTGCAAATATGTAAAGTATATTATATCGAATCTGGATGGAGTTAGAGGATTCGAGACGAGGCGGGACGATACATCAAAGCTGCAGCAGCTTCGATCGCGATTACAGCAGAGAAAAAAATAACGAAGGGATTGCGTAATGTGGAAATGCAGCAGGGTAGGGAATCTGGTGGAGAAAATCTCTCTACACACACACACATCAGTCTGTTTATTACGCAGAAGGAAAAACTCTCATTAAACGCGAACTATTTCGCATTCGGATGGAACGGTTCAATCTGTCCTTCGAAAATCTGACGAAAACAGGCATCGGTTTATAAACTACTGGCTCATTAAGACAACAAACTTTTAAATAGATTTATGGGGGCCGACCGACCTAGTCTCTTGATGTTCTCCTTTCGCTTTGTTGTCCACGTCGGAAACAACGTCGCCTTTGATCCGAAACAAACGCATCGATGAAAGTTTTAATTGATAAAGTTTCGAGGGTCTGATGAAATTATTGTTTCCCTCCCTCCTTCGCAGGAAATATCAGAATATTCACGATAACGATAATCGATGCACCTTCCGCAATCCCATCCTGTTTACACCAGAAGAAGATGCTGAAAACGTTTCTTCACTACTTCTTTTTTTTTTTTTTAATTTCTTGCACGTCCACGCTTTTATAGAACGCGATGTTCCGAAAATACGCGCATTCTAAATTAAAACGCATTCATGGCTGAACGAACTTGAAATGGGTCAGTGGCAACGAACTCGGCTCCTTTGGCTGCAGAAATCGTCTGATGGACACCGAAAATGATCGTACTATATCCATTCATTGGGACTTCATTGCATCGCGGCTAGTTGGTAGCCAAAACAGGAGAGACGACACGGAAATAGCACGTACTTGACCCTGTTTCTCTATTATCATTATTATTTGTATTGTGCTTTCTCGCAGTGTAAAAGGATGAAAGAGAGCGCATGGTAAAGAGGAAAGGTTTTGCGTAACCGTGAAAAGAGCGCGAGCGCAAATATTTACGTAATTAGCGATTCTCCTGCTGGAAGCATCGAAGTGCCGAGAATAAAAACCAATTAAGCCCGTCTCCCTTAATTGCGTCATTCTCTTCCTCCTTCATAACAACCAATTATTTCTGTAACTGCCAACGACCACAAACTCTAATTACATTAAAAATATTATTTTTAACACTTTTTTAATTTCAAAATTTAAATAATTATATTGTAATTATATTTGTTTACTTTAAATATCTATTTATGGAATTAAAAATAAATTTAAAAAAAATATTTGATTTATAGTAGATTTTTACAATTGTATTAAATCGAGTGGGCGATTTTAAAGTGGAAACGAAAAACAAAACACGAAATTTTCCAAGTGCGAAATGTCAATAGGTTAATTTTAGATGTAAATATCGGTCGAAATAAACCTCAGAAAAGCGTTCCAGATTTAGCATGCCTTGCACACATTTTGGTGATTTACAAATGAAAGAACGAAACATGAAAGCCACATATTTCCATCGCTCCCAGAACAATTTCACACATGATGATTAGTTTGTTTTGTTTTTTTAAATTTAGATAAATTCAAATTCTGTAAATTTTATAAGAATATTTTGAATATATAAGTAAGAAAAATCTTTTAGTATTCAATTTGATATTATCGTTGTGACAGTTGCTAATGACGCTATTCAGTTGTTATGGACGCCACTTCTATTGCCAAGGACTCCTTAAAGTTTTTATGCTCTCTATCCTCGTTACCAAGGACACATTTAGTTTGTTGATGATACTACCCTCATTCCTACGTCTTTAGATTTTTATAAAATTTATGATAATGATAAAGACTTTAATTCTACATTGAATTCAATTAAATACAATAATAGTAAAATTAATCCTAAAAATGTAAATAGATATTTTTTTTATTTAGGATGAGAAGTGAAATATTCATGTTTTCATTTCTATTTGGTATTGATTTCTGCGTCTGGATTTTGGCTATGAAACGACATTTTCACTTGCAAATATTTGCCAATTGCTAAAAACCGAGGCCATCGCACACATTTCAAACAGTGCAGATATACCATAACTTCGTTTGAAATGATCAAACGTTGTCCTCTTTACAAATGTATAGAAATTACTTTGATGATTGTGAATGAATATATTGTGTTGTGTTGTTATTGTGGATGTGGATATTATTGATTTTCGAAATACTTAGTTTTAAAGTGTGAATTGCGTAGGTTTCCTGTCGGTGTTTCCGGACGGAGGCCAACTGCCATTACCATTAGTAATTGCGACTCGCAAATGGGGGGATGAATAAAAAAAAGGTGGCGAAGAAGGAGGAAGGCAAGCGTCGCGACGCCGCTTATTCTGTGCAATTGAATCGAACGTTTTAGACATTTATGAAATTTCCTTCCGTCCAGGGAATCGATCCCCGCGTGAAACACTTTTCAGTTAGTGCATGCCCAGACGGCGACGACGTCTGAAATAAGGATTCGATGATTGCTATCGAAAGAAGAAAACAAATCCAAATATGAAATACGAAACTTGTACATAACATCTAAAAGGCATCTCTTGCAACTGTCACGTTGCTTGACAAGTTACATCATTAGCAACTGTCATATTGTCAAAGGAGGTTAAACAGGCAATTGACAGTTATTAACATAATCTACAACTACTGTCATGCTGTTGACTGTTGCTTTCGACAGCAATAAAATTTGACAGTTTGCAGTGACAAAACGGAAATGAGAAATGCGAATTGCCAGATTAATGCGGAATCGGTTATTGCATTCGCGTTGCGGTCAGTGTACGTGTTTGCCCGCAAAACGGTTCGATTAGTTCGCAATTTATTCATGTCCATCTAATTTTGATGGGGTTAAAAAAAATCTTTTACAGATCACGTGGTTCTCCATAGTCCGTTCGGTATTTTAATTACGTAACCCGCTCATAACTAATTAATAAACTTCATTATCGATGATCGCGTTTTTGTTTGTTTAGTTTTAAAATTTGTGTATGCCGAACGTGGTTTACGAAATTTATTAATTACGGCTCAAACATTTCATGATTACGAAATTAATATCGAATTTTATTTTAGTTTATTTGTTCAGTGTGTATTGACAACTTTGTCTATGTTTATTCACTAATTATTTAGTTGATGAAAAACTAATTGAAATTTAGTTAAAATGTTGAAAAGTATAGAATATTACAATGAATGTCTTCATTAACTATACTAATACTAATTATTTGTTCTAGTTATTTTTATTCCGTCAAGTTGACCCTACAAATTTGAACAAACTAGGCAAATTTATATGAAATATTTACTAATTAAATGTGATTTTCATATCTAATTTAGCTTTGATTTAACCCATTAATCCACCGCACATTATTTATTTGTTATATCAGTTTTTAGTTGTTTTTTTTCTCGTTACGTTGGTCGACAAAATTTGAATATGCACGAATGATGCAATCAATTAAAAAGTATAGAATATTACATTGAATGTCTTCATTAACTATACTAATATTATAATATTATCAACGTTAACTTTAAACTATTACGATTGATTTTGAAATTAACTGTTCTAAATTTCATAGCATCAAAATAGACTACAATCAAATGTCATGTTCACCTGCAACGTCATTTCGTTGCGAAACTTTTCACGCAGTCTCAACGTCAGCTGTCGCGAATTCAATTCCTGAACTTTTCCCCATGATACCGAAACCATAACTTTCGCAACAGAATTACCGCAATCACCGCCAAAGAAACGATTTTAAACGATTTTAAACGTTCTAAACCTTTCGGGATCATGCGATTATCGCATGTCAACGGCTCACGCTTCTAAAAACGATTTCAATTCATTACTAAAAGTTCGGCGCAATCTAAATTTTTCCCATCAATTAGTTAATTCGTTTTCGTTTCGAACCAAAAAAAAAATAAAAATAAACAAACGGAAGCGACAGAGTCGAAATCGATTCGAAATTAAATTGTTCGTGCATTTCATCGAATTACGTTTTAATTGTAAACATTTCCATTAAGTTGCAAATAACAAAATTTGCTTGACAATCAATCGATTTTGTTTTCGTTGTTGAAACAGTTGCGCTTTACGAAGAAAAAAAAAAGAGCAAATATTAATT